GTAATTAGACAAGGCTTCAGACCACATATGTTTAACTACGAGGTGAAATGCATATTATTTCAATATACATCTCTATTGCTAAACCAATTGTTTCAATAGTCACATGACTTTTGTGGCCATCCAAAAATAACAATACTTTTTTTCCATTCACTTTTGTACAAAACTCATTAAAATGATGTAAAAAACCAACAAAAATCTCTTGATCAATATATCCGCTTTTACTGCAATGTACTTTTGTACCCAAAGGAAATTTAGATGCATCTGGAATGTTCGTTCCCTTAAATATGAAAAATGGTGGTAAGCTGTTTCCTGCTGCTTCAACAGTGGCCAGGTATGTTGTTATTGTGTCGCGTTCACCAATAGTTAACTTTTTTTACCTCACGAGAACCTTTTAATGCTTTTACTTTAGCAGAGACACTATAAATATACATAAAAATAAAATAAAAAGATATATAAATATAAAAATAAAGTCTAAAGCTTTGAAGCATTTTGAGCATATATTGTTTTTCTTTTAAACGGCACTTGGTAATTTAAAAATTTGCGTAATGAAACGACCTAATTTATTTTCAGTATTAACTTTCTTTAATGACGAAGTTGCCCCTCATTTTAAAATGTGCTAGCAATCATTGCATGACAATTCCATAGGCAAAAATAATAACATAAAATATAACATAGCAAAAATAAAACATAGCAACGTCGACTATTATTTTAAAAATACTGACATCGATGAACCAAAAAATATATACTTTGTGGTCAAAACATTGCGTATTTTGATTTTTTTTATGACGATAAGCATTTAAACAGAAAAAAAATTTTTCACGATCAATGTTTACTTGAAATATTTAGAGAATAATCGAAAATAAAACATTTATTAATTATATTCTACAATTAGCAGTTGAAAAAGTTTCAAAAAAACTAGTAAGTATATTTCTTAGTTTTTTTGCATTATTATTTTAAAGCTGAGTCGCATAAGTGACGGATTCGCTCCGTGACATATTCACGCCGCCTTGACCTATGTTCGGGCAGCCTTTTATGTAAAGATTTTAATTATACGTCAATATGAAAATTACCATTTACATTAATATGATCACGATACTCAAGCGAAAGATTTCATAGATTGTCAAGAGATTCTTGTTTTTTAAAAAATATCATTTATCCGACGTTCCAGGCTCCGATAGTAGTATGCTAGATTTAATAATAATTGAATGTGAAAACAGAGTATTTTTAGTCATTCATCTTCCACCTGTGGGAGCAATTGAACACGGTCACCATGAACTCATGTTCAACTAGTCATATTCAGACATAAACTTAACCATTTTTTTGACCAAGCGACAGCGTTATCCAAGTCAGCCTGAACCGTTTCAACCTTTTCTTTATTTTTGACTGTTGATAAAATCTTAGTATCAACAGCATAAAGTTTTATTACATTTTTTTGTTTTTTTGTTTTTTCCTTGAATATTCAATATACTTTATACAATAAGATAGTTAAGATAAAAATCGTTATACAATAAAAGAAATATATACAAAAAAAGATCGCGGAGACTCGCAGAAGAACTTCAGGTCTTATCTTTGAGAACCGCTCGTGAATATTAAGTACATTAAACTAACATGAACTATAAAATCAAAAAAATAAAACAATGCCGTAGTAAAAATTAGTAATAACTGGCGAGAACGTAAATTTCGTAATAATATATAAATAAAATTGAAATAAAGAAATTTTTGATACTCTTATATATAAATACAAAAATATTTTAAAAAGTACTGTTTTCATAAACACATAAGTTGTGGATCAGGTATAATATTTATATATTATCTTTTGTAATAAACTTCATGTTCATTTTTAAAAAAATTTAAAAATATAAAAACATGTCATTAATAGATAAAACAATTTCTTTTAGTTTTTTCTTGAATGAAAGATGATTCCATTCATGGGAAAAATCAAAAAAGGTTTTTAAAACTATTTTGTTTCAAAGAAAAGCTCCTCGATATAAATTACATTATATAAAATTCTCCATAAAATCAAAAAAAAACATGCATAATTGGACGATAATTTTAAGCATTGGTTGCATCACCCTCTTTAAATATTGGTGAAACTCTGGCTATTTTTAGATTGTAGGGGAAAATACCCTGTTTTATTGAACATTTTAAAATTTGAAATAGAATATCTTTAATGACTTCATACGAGTCGACAATAACATTGCGATGAATATTATCATTACCAACTGATTTATTAGATTTAACCTTTTTAAAAGAAAGTTCAAATTCCTCAAAGGATAACTCAAAGGAGTTTAAGAACGAAGTTATTAGAAAAGCATAATTATTTATTTTGTTTTTCAAGAAAGGAATTTTTTGGGCCAGATTAGAACCAACTGAAAAAAACTACTTATTTAATTTGTCAGCTATTGCAATTTGATCATATGATGTTTCTTCGTTAGTTTTACCAGCTTTAGGCAATGCGCTCTTTTTAATTTCTGCAAATTAAAAATGAGCGCATTGCCTAAAAACGTCACTTTTAATGAGATTTATTGAAAACATCAGTTGTTATAATATTGTCAACTAAGGTTTTTGACGTATTAGTTATTCTTGTTGGTTTGTTAATTATGGGAAAAGTACCAAGTTCAAATAACTCATTGAAAAATTTTTTAACGCCATAATTAGTGTGGTATTGGTAACAATCTAAATTAATGTCACCTATTAAGTTGTATAATTTATTTTCATAAATGCTTTTTTTTCAAAATGTCATTTAAAAATAAGTTAAAATTTTCTATTCTGCCCGAAGGTGGGCAATAACAAAAACTTATAATTAAATTTTTTTTGTTTTTATTTTGTTTGGAATCAACTGTTAAGACATGAGGTTATCATTATCGTCATCAGAATTGCTCATGTCAGGTCTGATAATATGCTGCATACATTCTCTAATATAAACTATTAAACCACCGCCTCGCTTTCCATTTTTTCTATCTAAGGAAATTATATTGAAACCTGGTAAAAAAATACTTGAGTTCAAATTAGAATTGTTAGAGTTACACCAGGTTTCAGACATGCAAATTAAACTAAAATTAAGAGATTCTTTCATGTTTAAAAAAAAAATTTCAAAATTTTTTGATATGCTTCTTATATTAATATGAAAACTGTTAAAATATTTGCAATTTAGAAGCTCTTTTATTTCAACATAGTAATAGGAGCAGTTGCTTTGTAAAGCATGTGCATCACTAATTTAACTCCGAATCTGATTAGTTATTAAATAAAAACTCACTAGTTTGATAAAATTATAACTAAATTCAAAGTCATTAGAATTATTGGAATCCATTTTACCATTTTATAAAACCATAAAAAAAAAGAATTTCCTTTAATCGCGCGTTTTTAACTTATTACATACAACCTTTGCATATTTATCTTCTATTCGTAAATCTTTTGCAGCCGTAAACAATTTTTTTCGCAACTTGGTTGTCCTTTCGCTGAAATTTTCATTCACATATATTTTTTGATTCCAACGTTTCGTCTTTATATATTTACACTGCTGATTTGACCTTAAAATTTAAAAATTTGACCACGATAGTTCTGCATTTTTTAATTGTATCACCTTTATCATTTTTTCTTACTTTATGAGCACGTTCAATAATGAATTCACCTTGAAGATCAAGTTTTGTTTTTATTAATTCACGAACTTTACCTACTTTATCGTCCCAACTTTCATCAACTGATTCTTCTATACCGGATATCCTTAAATTGTTTCTCCTACTTCGATCTTCAATCTCAGCCAATTTGTCTCTGATATTAACGGTGAAACTATTTCCTTGGTTTCTATCTGGTTTTGCGCAATCAGCCTTCGATCGTTCTTGTTCAATTTTTGTTTTGTCGTATTTTTCGCTAATAAATTCGACAGCTTTTTTTTTAATAAATTCGCTTAATTCAGTTTTAAGAATTTTATTGTCATCATTCAACTTATCAATATGCTTTTCCAACCTTTTAAATTTTTCATTAAATATTTCTATCATTGTGTTCTCATGAATGTCTACTATTTCTTTTAATTGTGAAGTTGAAAAATTCGCCATTTTTATTTTGTAATTAAAAACACCTCCGTTCGCGGTGAAAGTGTTTCGCCAAAAATTTTTTGAAGACAATCAGACAAATCGTTAATAAATATCAAAAATAACAACGGTCCGAACACGGATCCCTGAGGTACACCATTTAAAACATTTTTGCACGTAGAGAAAACATCATCTTGTTCGACTCGTTGACGCCTGTTGCTTATAAACCCTTTTATCCACTCTAAAAGTTTTTCGCTTACACCATACGCATCCAGTTTAAATTAAACGTCTATGAGTCACTGTATCAAATGTCTTAGCAAAATTTAATAAGATCAACTGGTCGTTTATCTGCTAAAGAGTACGAAATGAAGTCTAGTGTTTCAAACAGATTGGTGTGCATGATTTTGATTTTACAAACCCTTGCTGTTTTGATGATATTAAATTATTGCTGAAAAATGATTTTTCTAAGGAGGCTTTTACAAAACTTTCTAAAATTTTACATGAAATTGAGGTAAGGGAAACTGGTCTGTAGTTTAATGCTAACAGCTCGTCAACAGCTTGTTAATGGTAACAGGCTTTCTTAAAAAGAGGTATTACATCCACGGATCGAAATTGTAATGGCAGTATGCCGCATTGTATAGATGCTTTGAAAATTAAAGTTAGTTGAAAAGCCAATGAATCGGAACAGTATTTCAAAAGTTTTGGATGAAGTCAGGTCCCATTGACTTATTACATTTTATGTTCTGTAGTTTTAGCTTAACACTTTTAATCGTAATTGTAGAAAAGTCAAAATCAATTATACCATTAAATCGCTAGGGGAGAATGGGTAGTCGTCTATCGCCCTCCATTGTGGAAACAGATTTGTTGTTTAGTACATCGGCAATTGAAATTGGATCATTAATAATGCAACCATTATTATTTTTAATAAATTTTATATAACTTTATAGAAATTAGCATAAAATTCCAAAATAAATTCTAAATTTATATTTATTTATTTTTTCCATTGAAATAAGCTTTACAATGTTTTACACTATAACAATAAAAAGTTTTAAAAAAGTCCGACTGGAGCTGGCGGAAGACTTGGTCTTGATTAAAATTACCCGCCAAACATACATAAATTACAGGGTACCTAAAAAAATTGCAGGATACCAGGCACATCTCTAATTTTGAACATGGAGCTGTTACAACAAGCAAGTTTTTTAAACTGTAATCAAGTAAGATGCACAAACAATATTTCTAATTCGGATCTAAAAAGAAGTTATTTTAAGTTATTTAGGTGCTCCTAGAAGTCCTTACGGTCTTGTCACAGAGCGTTGCGTAATAGCAGGAAGTTCACGCCTCCTTCGAAGGAGGTGTGAATTTTATGCTATTACGCAGCGCTCTGTGATGTCTTCAGATATCCATGTCTATGGTTAGAAGACAGCTCTGACCATATATGCATTATTAATGATCATTGGTACGGAAGCATTTTAACCAACGCATTGGTAAAGAGGCATCATTAATGATGTATATATGGCAAGAGCTGGGTTTAAGGTGGAAGCCCCTAAAAACATCACACAAATTTTTTTTAGTCTATTTAGACATAAAAATTGCCATAGATTTCATTTCTGTTACTTATTTTTCATAAAAATTATTCTAAAATGCAGAATTTTCAGGTTTTTAAAGGGTTACTTAATGTTTTGATATGTCGAAAGCATTATTTTTTTAAATCAAAAATCGTTTTTTCTAAAACCTGTTTTGAAAAGCGTTATTTGATTTAGGATGCTTCATTCTGTTGTACTTCTTGTTCAGCTAAGCAAAAGCAAGCAAACAATAAAGCCTGAAAACAAATCGAAATTATTAGAAGTAACATTAGACTAGCATCTAACCTTTAAACAGCAGATCGAGTCGGTAATAAAAAAATGCCATTCTTCCCTAGGAATGTTGGCAAGAGCATCAGCAAACCTACCTAAAAAATTAATAAAGTTAGCCTACATCGGAATAGTGCTTAGTCATATGGAATTTATTAGTTCACTCTATATTTCAATATCAAACACCCATATAAAAATATTAGACGTAGTACAATAACAAGCCGCGAGAATCGTTTCTTATGCACCACGAAATTCCCATGCTGCATTCTGTAAAGCTGTCAAAACAGCATATAAAAAAAAATACACAAAGGAAATTAAAGATAAAGAGTAGGTAGAGAAGTGCTAGCAACATACCTCTCTACCCTTATGAATTTTTGATGGAAAAAGATTTATTTTTTGTATATTATGCATTCTGGAATTATAATAATCTGTTTTTTGTAATTGCTTATAATGAACGGAGAGGTTATCATTGTAATTTTTTTCGCTCCTTTGTTTACCAAGGTTTTAAATAAGCAATGCAGTAGGAAGGTAAAAAAATATTTTTTTGTTTAAAAGGTAATTATTTCAAACATTTAAAAACCTTCCTACGCCACTGGTTACTAGCCTCTTGTTGCACAAGTTATGTTAAAAGGAGAAAAGGGTATGACTTAAAAGTTTGTAAAGCACAGTTCTATTTTTTTTTAAATGCAATTTAGCCAATGTAAGAAGAACTAGAAAGACTCTTTTTAATTCTTTCATAAAACTCTTTCAAAGGGTTTTATGTTACAAGGTATCAGAAGGAATAGAACCATTGATTATATCTATAAACATAAGCTGATTTGATTTAATAAAATTAGTAAGATGCTTAAAGAGGTTGTTACGTTTATTTTTTAATTTGTTTAGAGTCTAAACATAGTTTGCATTAAAAGTAGAAGGGTGCAGTGCGAAAGGTAAATTACATAGATTTTATCTGCGCTCTCCTACGTTAAAACCCGAAGGAAAGCAACTATGTTTAAACTTCAAACTGTTTATAAAACTTGTTTTTGAAATTAATTATATGCATTGTTTAATAAAAATTTTAATTTACCTCAGCTTAGTTATTCTGACTTATTTGAGTTCATTAATTAAATATTTTCTATATTTTTCTATTTTAAAATTTAGAATTTTTTTTTTATAAATGTTATTTCGTTTGGCGTTCTGGAGTTTTTTTTTGATTTGCGAGTTTTATACATTAGGTGAGTTATAAGTAATTCACAGCTGTTATACAGAGTGAGAGATTAAGCACTCAAGGGACGCAAACGTCGTTTTTGCCCCGACTAGTGTTTTATAAAATTAAGAACTGAAAGTATTTCAAAGTTGGTTTACCGTTAGCAAACGTGTTTGAAGAAAAAGAATTGATTGGTTTTATTGTTCTTCATTATTAGTTTACAGTGTTTCCAAAGGGTATTATTTTTGTTGTTACAGTTTTTTTTTTTTATATATGTTTAAAGCCCGCTTATTGCTAAATAAACTGGTTTTAAAAAAAAAAAAAAAAATTATTTAAGCGCATTATCTTCTTATTAATTTTATTTATTATCAGTATTTAGTTTATCTTTTATAAATATGGAGAAACCTATCTACATTAAGTATATAAACATTTGTGCCAATTTTATACTTGTACAAATATTTCATAAGTAACGTTAATGTGCGCAACCCAGATTAATGCATACTTTTTTAATTTTCATTAAAACATAGAAATCATAAAAGGTTCAATGTTTTTAATTTTATAATTTGTTACAACTTTTTTACGCCAAATTACATGATAAATTCAATTGGACAGAAGACAAGCAAGATTAATGTCGCATCTTCTAAGTTTCAGCTAATTGCAAAAAGATTCCTTTTTCAATTCACACCAACATTCACCCGATCCATCAACAACATCCAAAATCAAGCTAAAAACATGTTTAACTTAATTTTGTTATATTAAAAATTATCAAAGACTTAAAAATTAATGAAACTAAGTACTTTAAATTATAAAACAATACCTTAAAATGGAGACCGTATAAATAAAAATAATAATTAAAAAATAATATAAATATGATTTCATTAATTGAACGGAAGCTAAGAAAATTTTGTAATTTAATAAACCTTCTGTTTTTTGATAGCTTTAATTTAATTAAATTGACTTTAAAAAAAACTGCCGTAAATCACGCACGTATTTGAAATTAAAATTAACGGAAATAAAAATGGAGTTTGAATCACGCACGCGTTCGAAATTAAAATGAATATAAAATTAAAATCGCGCACACTTTTGGAAGCAAAAAGTTCAAAATTAAACTTAAGTAACTTCTTTTAAAAACTTCTATTAAAAACACTTGCTCTTTCAACCAGCAAGCGTTTAAATTTTATTTATTTGATTATAATATACTAGTTTTAACATTATACTATATATATATGTATGTATATATATATATATATATATATATATATATATATATATATATATATATATATATATATATATATATTATATATATATATATATATATATATATATATATATATATATATATATATATATATATATATATATATATATATATATATATATATATATATATATATATATAATCAATCATATATTCTGAAAATAAATTTTCAAGGCTATTTACAAATAGTATTGAAATACTAATCTCAAGTAAATACCTAAAAAAAATAATTTTTTATATATACAATTAATCTTAGTAATAATAATATTAATAATAGTAATAATAACAATAATAATAAAGTAATTATAATAATTTAAATATTACTTTCTTTCGGTATAACTTTCCATACAGCAATCATTTTTACATACGAACAAACAGTAATAAACTGACAAAACGTAACAACTAACGATGACATAAAAACGACTACTGCTATAAAAATTATAAAGATTTAGTAAATTTATTAATATAATCATAGTAGTTAAAATATAATAATCAAAATATATTGCAAGTATTATGACCAAATAAATAAATAAAATATAACAGAAAAACACTGAGAAAATCAAAACAAAACAAGGTACAACAAACATTACGAAACAAAAGAAAAACCTACGTAAAATAAACAAAACCAACAACAACAAAAAAAATTAAGATTAAAAAATAATAATAATAATACATGGTAGAATTAAACATAAATAATAAATGGCTAAAATGAAAATAAAAACAAATAATATATAACTGTATTAAAATTTATATACCACTGAAAATAAATAATAACTAAAAAACTAATAACAACTAATGACTAACAAAAAATAATAAGTAAAACTATATACGCTAAAAAATTGAAGAAAAATATATAAATAATAAAATAAATAATCCTAAGAAATATATGAAAGAAAACTAAAAAAATGTATGAAAAATTAAATAAAAATCTTGATTTGCCGATCGAGGTTTTTTAACTTCAATTTTAACTTTAATTCCAAACATTTTATATTCCTTGCTTTTCACTTTGATCAGTTTTATGATGATATTGATGTATACAGTTAATTCCCGGTAAGTCGAACACTGGTTATCTCGAACTGTTTCATTTGGTCTCTTGAAATTGTCTAAGTGATTACTATTAAAATTCTCCGGTTTAGTCGAACATCGGATTACTCGAACTTCGTTAAGTCGAACCATTTTATTGTCCCCTTTTGGCGGCAAATTTCTTCGGTTAACTCGAATTTTTTGTATGGGAAATAATGAAATCAAAATAACTTGATTAAATTTTTTTTTTTTTTTTTTTTTTTTTATATATATATATACGGAAATCTCTAACAGGTCCGTGCATACTCAGTACTGGAGCTAGCATAGCAAGAACCTTGCAGAACTTCACTGAGGACCGCTCCTCGATCAGAGAAGTAGTCAGCTGTACAATTCTAGTGATGTGCCGAGTACCCGGTTCGGACCCGGGGACCCGGCAATTCGGCTGTTTTACGGGGTACCCGGTATCGGCCATTTTGTTGCAGTACCCGGCACCGGGTATCTTCAAACTGATTTTTCCTTAAATTTAAACTTTAACCATTAAACTTCTTGATATAAGTCTAAGAATGTTATGTAGTCGATAACCACAAAGTTCTATTAACTTAAAACAATCTTACCTAAAATATTTTTAATACATTTTTGCAAAAAAATTTATACGGATACAAAAACTGTAACGCTAAATGAAATAATTCGAGAATACGAATAAAAAGAATGGGAAAAAAAGTTTTAGAATAGCTTCTTTTTATTCTGCTAGAACACAAGATAATTTTTAGCAATTTAGTTTTGAATGAAACGCTTAAAATGCTTTCGAACGCTGATGCCACTTTTCATTCGTATCAAGCAAAAATCATAAAAGTAGAGATATAATAATAAAGGTAAATGTTATATACATTTTTCATATTTTAATTTCGATAATAATTATAACAAAATATTATTTAGGCCCGCTCCACCAGGAAAGAAAAATAATTTTAAACTAAATATAGTTAATAAAAAACTGTTGCACAACTTTTGAAAAAAGTTAGGCCCTACAACTCAGGCCCCTTACCCTGCATTGCGGGGTTTTGCTAAATGGTACTTCCGCCACATAACCTTTGGTTAGTTAGCATAAAAAGCGTATTTTGTGTAAATAGTTCAGCGCTAGAGATTTCACAAGTTTTTATTCCATTTTTTAAAAAAATGGACTCGGTGCCGAGTACCCGGACTCGGACCCGGTTTTTTCAGTCGGGTACCCGGAATCGGAGACTCGGCATAAACTGGTTCCGGCACATCTCTATACAATTCTTAAATTTAGACCAATTGAGAAGGCTGCTATCCACCTATATGTGCTTGTATCAATGCCTTACGCGCGTAATTTGTACTAAGATGATCATGCTTTCAAAATTGGTATGTCTATAATCAAAATGCTTTCGGTTTTTAGTCGAAGCTGCCTGAATGATAGTCCTTAATTTAAAAAAAATCCAATAAATAATATCAAAAATGTGGTTTATTTTAGTGGACCCAAAAAGAGAAACAATTTTTACATTGTATATATATATATATATATATATATATATATATATATATATATATATATATATATATATATATATATATATATTTTTTTTTTCCAAATATTGTTTCTGAGACAAAATTGGTTGGTAAGCAGTCTTGAATAGTTACGAGCAATGGGGCTGCATGTTATTGGCAGAGTACCCACATGAGTTTTTTCTATCGGATTTTGAGGTATTTGAAATCTTTGATAATGAGAGGCTTGGTAAATTTTTTTGCTTGACTAAAATAGATACTTGACAAACTGACTTTAAAATAAGCTCAAACCCATTATTTAGACCAACTTCAAAAAGAGATTTTTATTTGTTGAATTAGAAAACGCTTGGAGTTTTCTGTGTAAACAACGATTCCTAATCGGAAAAAGTTATGCAACAGGAAGTACAGGGTCGAGTATTTATTAATCAAAACTGACCTATTTATATCAAAACAAGTATTATAAAAGTCTTTTTGTACAAGTAGAAAGTTGAATTCACTGTATCTGTTTGAGAGATTGTTGTTTGTCCCTCAAAGTAGCAGTGTCATTCAGTATGAGAAATTTAAATAAAAGAGCTATATTTTAGGATCTTATGATAGATAAATTTTTTCCTTTTTATTCCCAGCCCAACAATCAGTGTAAAATAGTTATCTTCCGGCTATGGAAATTAGCAAAATCATTAAAGGAAGGTGAATTCGCCCATAGTATCGCACAGGACAAGTACAGCACAGGTTTCTTATAATGTGTGAAAATCTTTTCAAAGATTCAACCGATCATGATATAATTTTATCTTTATAGCACAACACACATTCTGCAAGACAAAATTTTCAAGTATATATCAAAAACTTTAGTAACTTGTTTGTTGTTAATGTTTCCGTATGGTCCCGTATAGTCATATGACTGGTTTGTAACAGTTGTATGACCTTACCAAATCTATGAAAACCGACCTTTAATATTTGAGTTTGTTTGTAAATTATACATAAAAAAAAAAATGTCACAGTGCCACAAAATTTCAAGTCCTAACTTTCCTTTCCTCCCCGACTGTGTGGTATCGCAGTAATTAAAAAACAAAACAAAAAAAAAACACGATTATAGATCAAAAGAGCTAGAACTTTTACAAAGTGTTTAAATGAATATGATAATATTTTTACAGAAACTAGATCAAGTCAAATGTGAGATTACAATTTATTTACCTCTCACTTTTTGTCAAAAATGTTTTACAATATAATTGAATTACTCCTCTTGGTTGAAGATATGGGGTAATTCAAAAATTCGCTCTGTACCATTTTCCCGCTTGCCGTTGAAACTATATATAATGTTTATTTACAAATTTAAAATATCACGTTAACAAAACATTATATTTAAACGAAGTCAAGTAGATAAACACTTTGTAATTAAAGAAGTATCTCAAAAACACTGGACTTAGTTGAATTTTTTTTTTCCAAATTTTAATAGCAAAAAAAAAAAATAGAAAAAGTGAAAAAATGTAATTAAATATTAAATATCGTTTATGCAATAACTTTTCATCAAGAAATGGAAAATAAATCATCAATCTAACTAATGAAGTTTTTGTAATGAATACACATGTCTTGCTTACAAGAAGTTAAAAAGTTCAATGTATATTGTACATCAAACTTTCTAATGATATGTTTACAAAAATGAAGAATTTTTTTAACTCGTTCAGGTGATTGTTATATTATATACTTGTGTTTATGTTAAATAGAAAAAATATAGGGTAACAGGAAGTTAGGCAACCTGCTTTCAAGAACTTTTATTTCTCTCTTTGAAATAAGTAAATAAATGTTAAATTTAAACTGAAAATATTTTTAAGCAATAAACAACACATGTTTCTATATGTACAAAAGTTTTATTCAGAAAAATTTTAGGTCATATAGACTATATGACCTAAAATTTTTCTTAATAAAACTTTTGTTTTTTAAAATTTGAGTCTTTTAATTTTTTAAAATTTGAGTTAACATTAGTTGTAGCTTTTTAGCTTTTAAATTACTATAAAAGCTAAAAAGCTGCAACTAACGTTGACTCAAATTTTAAAAAATTGGGACAATAAGCTTCAGTATGTAAGACATATATTTTAACATAATTTTAAGGCAATTCTCACAGATACAGTCCATGGCTTCAATATCAGCTCCACCTGGAATTTCTGTGCATTTAATATAGTATCAAACATCACATAAGTCACAGCACACTCATTCTTCTCCTTGACCTCCATGAATACCACTATTTATGCACACATTGTCATTGTCCTCACCACTGTCCCCATCATCTCCAGTAGGAAGATTTTTCTTTTTTAAATGTCTTTTTTCTTGGATAGTTATCTTTTTTTGCTGTTTCTTCTTTCAGTTGCTTCAAAGATTTATTACCTGTTAAGCTTTCTCTATAGCAAAACCTGGTTCTAGCTATCCTACCACCTGTTAAGCCTTTTCTGTAGCAAAACCTGACTCTAGCCAACCTACCATGCCCAAATGTTTGCTCAAATCTGAACTGCAGTTCTTCTGCAGAAAAAAGTCTCTAATAGAAGACTTTCCTGAGGATGAAGTAGACCATGATGTCTGCGGTCTTTCTGCAAGTGCTAAAGATAGAGGTGATGATTCTGTTAATAATGCCGCAGTTGACAATGATGTTGACTGCGATAGATGTAGCATTGTGAGCCTTGGTGCTGGGAAATACTTGTAATAATCTTTGGATGTCTGATTGGCAGACATCTACTTACATATGACAGAATTTTAGACATCTGTCATTCAATTTCTTTTCAATTAAATAACTTTGTCAATTAAATAACTTTTGTTTTCAATTTAAATTATATCTGTGTAATGTTTATAAAATCAAAACATTAATTTTATTTATCTGATCAATGTTATTTGATTGTTTTAATCTTTTTAAATAGTTTTTAACATTTATTTTTATAAATAATAATCTACAGAGCTACATTTCTCTTAGAAAATCTATTCAAAGTATTAAATAGAAATTTAGTATTAAAGTCTATTTTAGAGCTATTTATAAAAAATTTCACAGACATTCATCCAACTGCCATTTTACTTTGGTAAAATTTTGACCTTTGCTCTACAAATATCAATATTTTAACTGATTAAATACATACACAGGAGTAAAAAAGTTGAAAAAAGTACTTACTTAGTCTATATGTACTTCTTACATCTATAAATGCTAATTAAACATTAATTCCATTGGTCATAAACCCAAGTATGGTAATGAAAAATTCCCTGATTGGTTAGTTAGTCTCATTATATAGAGCCTAACGTCTCTCTCTCTCTTAATACAATAACATTGGGCTTTTTATTATATAAACTGACGCAATGGGACTTAATACCACATGGGGCCTAATACCCTCTGTTACCCTTGGTATTTCTATGCTCTCATGTGCGTTAATATTCATAATTTATAATGGGGAAAATGTTTATTATCAAAATAGATCTTTTATTCATAAGTGACAATATGTTTACTTACTTCAATGTATTCTAGGTTTTGCATAATATATGATTTAAATTTACTCAAAAATTAAAAAATAACATAATACTTTTTTAAAAAACTTTATTTATACAAATAAACTCTAACTAATTTAACTAATACATATTTTTTCTAATTGGTTTAAAAAGGGAAAATTTATATTTAATGAATAAAACTTACAATATAATTATTATATTGTAAGTTTATTATAAATTGCTAAATTATTTTTATTATAATAATAAAAATAATAGTATAAAAAAAGAAAGTTGTGTCAACAATAAGCAACATAAATAGCAGTAATAAAATAAAATGAATGTTAAAAATGTCCTTTACTTAGTATAAAGCATATCTCAGATCATAAAATAGTTGTTAATATATTTAATAAATTTTTTGCTTCTATTATTCCAATTTTCTCTTACATTTTTTATTAACCTTATTTTTTTATAATCTTCAAAGCTCTATATACTATGATGAATAGTTTGTTAAAATCCGGTTTTTCCAGTTGCTTTTAAAATAGCCACAGTAATTCTCTGCTATTTATTCCAAATATCAACCCATTCCTCTTCTTTTCAACTTAAGTTAAAAAAACAATATTTCACAGAATATAGTTTATCTATATTTATTTATATTTCAGCAAAAGTTCTTTAATTATGTGATCTGACTATTAAGTTGAACTAAAATTATAATAACCTACCTCTTATATTCACTAATTTTTTTAATTAATCAAATTATAATTATATTATATGATCTTTTAGCAACATTAAATTTTCTGTTATTAATATGCATTTTCATATAGATTATTTAATAGAAAATAAATAACAAAATAATGAAATGATTAAATCAACTAACTGATGTTAGTTAGATTATTTTAAAGTTTAAAATTTAAGTGATGTACATTTTATGATAATATTAAATAAAGTTGTTGTATCAAAAACAAATAAAAATGTTGTTATCAAAAATATAAAGAAAATTTCTTAAAGATAATAAAAAGTTACTATTAAATAAACATAAATTTATCAATAGATTATAAATTAAATTAATCTATCTTTCAAACAAAATGTTAAACTATCACAAGAAGGTATGGAATATTTATTTAATAATTGTAGTTTTTTTAATTTAATTGTTTTAGTTTATAAGCTTTGAAATTAGTTTTCTCTTTTTAAATCCAAAGGTTTGGACTACATTTCATTAATGATTTATGAGCAAAAAAGAGACAGAAGACTTAAAAAAAACTGTAAATTAAATCAGGAAAATATGAAGATAGATGAGAATTCCAAAACACAAATGTTTGAGAAAAAAACTAGATAAATAAAATACTTTTGAGCATAAAGAAAAATTAAAAGGATATGACTTTGCTGAATGATAAGTCACAGAAATTTAGTTTTGGTTGATAGAGCATGTGATAAGTAAAGTAAAGAGATACCCTTTGTTGAATGAGTCACTATCATCAACAAGGGACAATAGCTCACTTGAACAGTAACCACAGTAGTATTTAAAAACAAGAGTAAGAAATGCAATTTTTATAAAAAGAGAGTCAAGCCTGACAACTAGAGTAAGGTTCAAAAGCATTTACAATTATTTTTGAACCTTGTAGTCTCATTAGAACCAACCCTTATGACAACAGTATTCCATACAAAGTTAACTTTTGATCTATTGAGGTAGAGAATGCGGTTGGCAAAAGAAATCACTCAGATGTCGAATAAAGTCCACTTGTAGTTGTGTGCATATTTGCTTGAGTTATAATTATGTAAGTTATAAAATTCTAAATGCGTGGGCTTTAAAGAGGCTTTTAAAGGAACACAAAAATTGGATGTGGAAGTGAAAAGATAGTTGAATAGAAAATTTAAATAATGAAATGATAATTTAAATAATGATTATTAGTATCATTTCTTTCAAATGGATTTCTAGTAGTTAATTTAACAAAACATAAATAATTTAAAATTAAAGGCTAAAATAGGCTAAATAATGCAAAATAATAAATAACACAAAAACGTAAAATAGGCTAAATAATGCAATCAAATTGTTTACAAAATATTACAATAATAACTTTAAAAAATTAAAATTTTGTCAAATAAAGTTTTGAAAAATCTATTTCAATAGATTTATCAAAAAAATATTTAATAGATTTATCAAAACCTTTTTCAACTCATTTAGATTGTTGATTTAGTCACAGAAAGATTAGTAAAATTTTTTGTTTTAAAAGTTTTTTCGGCTTTTCAAAAACAAAAGCTTTTATAAACATTTCAAAACAATTGGCATGTTTTGCATAATTATACCTAAAGCAAATTACACATAATTACAAGTGGACTTTGATCGACATTTGAGCAGTAGTTTCTTTTGCCAACCAGAAAATGCAATCTTAAGCATAAAAATAGCAAACAATTTTCCAGTAGGCAGGAAAACAATACTCAGTTAACAACTTATTAAATAGTTTAGAGAGTGTGGAAGAGAGTTCTGGAAAATGATTTTGTAATGACTGTGACAGGAATGATGACTGTACCACAAGCAGTAGATAAGTGAGAAATGACTTGAACAGTAGAAGCATTAGCGATTTGGACATCCAACAGTGAATTAGGCTGTTTCTTTGGAATGACATGAAGAGTGTGGTTATAAGATTCAAGATATAAATTAAAGACAATGTTTCTCTTAAATAGTTCTGACTTTAATTATAATTTAATTATAATAGAGGTAATAATAAGATATATAAATTTGAATAAAATTATAATAAAAGATTATAAAGAAGACGCATTAAAAAAAAAAAATAGCCTTAGCTAACATTCGATTAATGTTTAAAAAAAATACACTGAACGGCTAGGCTCTTGTAGCTGAGATCATTATGACCTATAGCTTCATTTAGGGTTTTATTAATATTTAGCTTTTGATCTAAAAATGACGCTCTTAGTTTTTTCTTCAAATTATCAAGTAGAATAGTTTTGAGGTTTAAAGGTTTAAATTATCTGTTTATGATGTTTTGGATGCATTTATCATCTAAATATCTGTTTATGATGTTTTGGGTGCATTTATCATCTAAATAGAATAAGAAAAAAATTTTTTTCCAGTAATATTTTTGTTTAATAGAAATGTATGCTAATCTTCATTTTAAAACTTAAAAAATATTTGGCATAAAAGGAAAAATTAAAATCTATAAAATTGATTTTGAAATGTTGTGATTAGTAAAAATTAAAATCTATAAAATTGATTTTGTTAATGTTTATTTGTTTATTTATGTTTGTTTTTATTTTAGTTGATTTAATTTTACTTAGATTTAAAATTTTGTCTTTGAAATGAAAGTGTAATTTGTTTTATTATTAAATATTTTTTTCTAGGTGTTAAAATTCACTAAAGATCAAGCCATTATTTTGAATAATGTTTAAAATGATGTCATTACTGTGAATTATGGCAGACAGTCCTGCTCATTCTCATGAAGTTGATCCTGATCCTGGAAGGTTGCACTATAGAGATCATAATATCTACTTAAACTTTCTCAATTCTTATGGAAGGTAATTTTAGTTAAGTTGAAATAATTGAAATACAGTTAAATAAATACAGCATATATAACAAAAAATTGAACAGGGTTCCCACCCCTTCTTAAATACCTTAAATATACTTAAAAAAAAAACCTTCTTTAATGTCCTTAAACAACCTTAAACAAAGTTAAAATTTGACTGCTCTCCTTAATTTCTCCTTATTATTATTATTATTTTTAATCACCTAGGAAATTTTTGGATTACACACTAGGGTGGAGTGAAAACAACTTTTTTTAGAAATTCATATTTTTACCCTGATTTCTTTAATAATAATAGGAAAACTAAAGAAATGAGACCAAGATGAGCAAAATTGGACAAGAATTACCCCCAGTACCAATATTTAGACTATTTTAAACCAAAAGTTTCTAAATTTTCTACATTTAATACAGGTGGGAATCCAGTGTTTTATGGTGTTATACAGCTAACTTCCAGACATGGAGCAAACTTTAAACATTCATATGTTTATACTTACGTCAAATAGGGATGCTTTGAAAAAAATTGCAATGATTGGGGCCCGGGAACAAAAATGTCTCAAACAAATTATCCACCTACCCCAAATTTGAAGGCAACTAGTTTGCAGCATATTTTTTTTACTTTTCTCAACTCGATTAGAATTCATTGATAGATTTTAAATTTCATGAAATAATCTCTTAACATTCAAAAGTTATGGCCATATAAGGTTTAGATCCCCCAATTTTTATGTTTTTATGAATGTTTAAAGTTTGCTCCATGTCTAAAAGTTAGCTATCTCTAACAACAAAAAATGTTGGATCCGCCACTGATTTAATATTTATTAATTTAAATAATAATTATTAGTATTATTTCTTTCAAATGGTTTATAAACAAGTTATTTTAAGAGAGTTTTAGTATTGAACAGGTGCATATAATACAAAATATTTACATTTATAGAGCAAAAATTGTACTAATTAGTGTTATAATGTGCCTTGGTATTAAATATTGGCATATTCTTCCTAGATTGTAGACAGACATGTATCATACCATTTCTATTTATCTTACCATAAATTAATGCGGAAACTTTTGTCACCATCTTTACACATTGTTCCACTGCTTGCGTGTGGCACGGTAACTTATCCAAAAGAGTTGAATGCGATGCTCTTTTACCTCCTCCAGCTGCTCGTCAGTAAGCTGCATTGTTAATGGTGACTCCAACAGCTGAAATTACTAAAATCAATCAACTCCCACATATTATTTGCCATAAAATTCTGAGTAGAAACTTTGAACTGATCCACACGTTTGGTTGGCTTTCATAATTCTTTCTTTTCTAGCTCTCTGTATTAGCCTAACACCTAATTCTTGGATATGTGGCTGGTCATCTGATACCATTGCCAGAAAAATATTCTCTTAATGACCAAAGAATGCATTTGTTTGAATTACTTTGTCTACTACTTTATGTAATGGAGCTGGCAGATATCGTGATTTTGCAATTGTGCAGTACAGATGCCTGCTGCCATGAAAAATAGAAGATTCTTTCTTGATGATGAACCACATAGGACATTAACTTGCATAATGAACGTCAATAGAATTAATAGATTTGACAAGGGACTGTTGGTAGAAACATATTTTCTGAGGATCCTATTAGCAGTGGTGAGCCAGTTTCCCAGGGCTGCGCTTCTCCAGGTTGGTAGAACAAATACCGCTTAATACTGCTTGGCAGATGTCAAAAAGATCAAGTTGATCTGTACTGAGCACTTTTCTGTCCACCTCTGGCATTTCTACATTATGGTTTATAGGTTGAAAATCAACCTTTAAGACCTCACAAATTTCAAGGGACTTTTCCAATTAAGCCTGAATAGCATCTAGGACCAGATGTTGAACCATCCAACTCTGCAAACAAATGGCGTAGTGGAAGCTTGTTTGCATGTAGCAAACTAATTACCCATGGTAGAGGCTGTTGAAGTTAATAATACTAATACTCAAATAATACTTATAATAATAATATTAAACTCGATCAGATTGATTGAATTAATATAATAATACCATTCTTGTTTCCTGTTTTTACATTTGTTCCATCACAGCCCAGCACTTGCCAATTATCCAAAATGATATTGTGCTTTTTAAAATGCTGTATAATTGCAAACTTTAGTGATTCAGCTGTTCCGCTTAGAGGAGTGCAGTGTCCTAAGTAACCTCCTCCAGGTTCCTGAATCAAGGATATGTGCTCCTCCATCACTATGGTTCTTTTGTTACTGTCAAATTTGAGTGTTCGGTCTTTTTTGCCATTAAAGTACAGCACCTTTACTTGGATTTTACCAACTTTCTTGTTATCCCTTGATTTTATGCGCTCAAGCCTGATCTTGCTGGGGTCAATAACTTGTGTTTTGTTAACATATGAAATAATGCCAATATCCTCAAGTACAGCTGGTGCCACAGCTGCAGCCAGTCTATCTGAGAGTCCATGGCGGTCACAGGCTAATGAAAGAGAAAAGAGAGACAATCGCATCTGCTTTGAAGATGATGGTGTTGATGCCTGGGTATTTTCAACAATAGCAGGCCGTTTCGTAGTAATAAGTTTGGTAGAAATGAAAGAATCTAATGACACTGCATAGTTAAGGTTTGAGCTCTGTTTGCTTTGGATATTCTGCAGTTTTGCTGTAATTTTTTTGTCTATTGAACCTATAGCTATTTTGTGTTCACTCCTTTGATCTTCCAGGAAAGGGTGCTCCATAGCTGGTACCATATTAACTTTGACACAGCAGCATTTCTTTAGATCTTTGCATTGGTGAGCAGATATATTAAACAGTTTTGCTAATTTTTCCTTGTAGAGCTGAAATTTGTTTTTTCTATTTTTCCTGTTTGTTGGAATTTTTTGCAGCTTTAAGGTGAGTTTCCACTCATCTGTTTGTTCACGGGAACGGGAAAGGAAAGGGAAAAATAATCACGTGAGCATGCGTATTATAAGTTTTAATTTGTCCGAAGTAAAACTACGCATGCTCACGTGATTATTTTTCCTTTTCCTATTCCGTTCCCATAGAAAAATGGATGAGTGGAAACTCACCTTTATGTTCTGCTCATAAAGGTTAAAAACTCTCTTTGTTAAAAATGGAATTGATGACACAGTTGGTATGTTACATTTTCCCCAAATTCTTAAGATCTCTATTGCGGTTGAACCTGCTTCATTCTTTTTGTTGGTTTTTCCAGCAGGTTTCTGTTAATTTATTATATACATATATATATATATATATATATATATATATATATATATATATATATATATATATATATATATATATATATATATATATATGTATATATATATGTATATATATATATATATATATATATATATATATATATATATATATATATATATATATATATATATATATATATATATATATATATATAGATATATATATATATATATATAGATATAGATATATATATATATATATATATATATATATATATATATATATATATATATATATATATATATATATATATATATATATATATATATATATATATATATATATATATATATATATATATATAGAGCGCTCGCTTCATAAACGAGTGGTTCCGAGTTCGACCCCACCACGTCCCTGGTAGTACCGCGCTCAACTCGTTTCTCCGCGCAGCGGCCTTGTTCGTCAAGGTTCGTGTTTCGGAGTTATAGAGTTGAGAGAGGGTTATAGCCACAAATAAGTAGCCTCCTCATCTGTAGTGGCCTTCTCGGCCTTGAGGAGGTGAATTAAAATAAAAAAAAAATATATATATATATATTTACATAAAATTATACTATTATTTGACAAACAATATGTAATATAGCATGCTTATATTTTCTTTTAAATACAACATATGCCGCATGACATCTAGTCTTGTTGGCAATTGCACATCAGAAATTGGTTTGAATACCCAAAGAATGGATGATCTGTTTTAGATCTTAACATTTTATTTACTGAAATTTGCTAAAACAAAACTCAAAATATATAAATAGTAATAATTATTATTACTGACTAAATGATAACAAGTTATCATTTAGTCAGTAATATTTATAGATAGTACAGTAACAAATTATAGATATTACAATTAATATTATTATTTATTAATTGATTGCTAACCTTTAAAAATATGGTTAGTGGAAAGTAGTAGAACATAGATTTTATTATATGCTAAATATTCACTTTTTTATTTCAAAAAACATCTTTTAAATGAGTTAAAAGTATTACAATAACCTTTTCAATGCAAAAGTGAGTATTTTGATCATAATGCTAATGGATAATACAAACATGCCTAGTATATTATAACTTCAAAGCTTCTTCAAAAAAGTATTTTAAAAAATTTTAAGTTTTCCCTTTCAATAATACATAGTGGTTAAAAATTGGTGCTGGAAGTAATTCTTGTCCAATTTTGCTCATTTTGGTCTCATTGCTTTATTTTTCCTATAATTATTATAGAAATCAGGGAGAAAATATGAATTTCTCAAATAAGTTGTTTTCACTCCACCCTATTACACACAAAACAAAACAAAAATTTTATGATGCCGAGCAAAAAATTTATTTTTTGTATACCATGTCAACCTGGGTCTCAAAAGTAGTGTATTTTCATAGAGATTTTAGAAAACATAAATTGATGACCTGTGTTGTACTTATTAATAAAGAGGAAAATATATAGTTCTTTGATAGTTAACAAACCTATATTTTTATTATATAAATATATATATATATATATATGTATATATATATATATATATATATATATATATATATATATATATATATATATATATATATATATATATATATATATATATATATATATATAAAGTAATATATTAATTTATAATAATTTGTTAATGTCTAAAATTTATTGAAAAAATTAGATTCTGTTTTTAATGTAATCGTTTTCTCCTTACTTTTTCTTTCAAAAAATCGCAACCAAATCTTCTTAAATATTAGAAAAATATCTCCTTAAATTTCCTTAAATCCTTACTTTTGGCCTCAGTTTTAATAGTGGGAACCCTGCTGAAACAAAATGATGCATATATATATGCATACATATATATATATATATATATATATATATATATATATATATATATATATATATATATATATATATATATATATATATATATATATATATGCATATATATATGCATAATTTTGTTTCATATATATATATATATATATATATATATATATATATATATATATATATATATATATATATATATATATATACGCACACACATATTAAGTTTGTCTTTACATTGTTATCTGCATCATTTTGTTTTGGTTTTTTTATTATATATGCTATTTTTGTTACAAATTTTTGTTGTATGTATAGTAAATTTAAATAAAGCATAGATTTAATTAACTCCGTACATTTAAAACCGAGACCTTTAGCTTTTGTTTAATTATTTTTTAAAGTTGCTCTTACTTAAGTGTATTTATGCTTGAGTATTAATTTTATATTTTAATTTTTTTTGAATATGCAGTTTTATATCTTTTTATTTTCCAAATTTTACCAATATGTACCAGTTGCTATTGATGCAGTTAAAACATCTTTAAAAATTAGTCCACGTGTTATGGTTTTCATTACTATTTTTATCTTATATAAAAGTATAATATTATGAATATATAATTTTATTAGATGGTTTACGTAGTTTTATTTTGCTCATTTTTATAATTTATTGATAAGTATGAAGGGTATTTATATAGTTTTTTACACATTTAGTAGCTAATTAACTATCATAACTTTATTCTTTTACATTAGTTTGTTTTGCTTTTTAGTATATCTTTTTAATAATCTTTTTAATTTTGCTATCTTTATTGGGATCTTTGTTTTATATGATAAATCTTTACACGATGCACTTTTTTTTTTTTTTGTAACTATAATGTCTTAACTTCATTTTTTATTTAGGTTACCTGCAAACCATCCGTTGACTATTCATCAGAAAGCTTTGTTTGTCTTTTGGATTACCACTGCTTTGTTTTGGATTATTATTCAATTAAAAAAAGTTTTAAAACACTTAATCAGTTCCACGGGGCAGCCTCATGACAACATCAATAAAAAATCCCCTGGAAAATTTTTATCTAGTCACAATCTACAGTTAGTTAATCCCAAGCATCAAACTGAAAAACTTTCAAGATTTTTTAAAAGTCCTTCTAAACAAATTTCACCAAGTTGCAGTCCATCGAAGAGGAAAGATTATTTAGACCCAGAAGCATTTAATATTTCTTTGACCAAAGTAGATTCTGATAATGTAACAATTAAAGTTGACAAAATAAATGAAAAAAATGCAATTGTTCCTAAAACAAGAGAAGAAATAAATTTGTCATCTCCAAAAAAGGACAAAGAAGGCAAGTATAGTTGGATGATTACAATAGATTAATATATATGTAAATTACTTAACTGTTTTGTTTCTTTAGGTGCAGTTTTTAAAGTTCACCTAGCAAAGTTGAAATCAGGTTTTTTGAAACTCTGTACTTCACACGATAAAGAACAGCCATCTTTTGAAAAGTTTCTGCTGAAGATGTTTATTTTTGGCTGGTTTATGTTTTACATTTTTCTTTCAGACTTTTTGCATATTTGGTATGTTTTTTGTTATTAACATAATTCATTAAACACAAATAAAAATTTATTTTATAAACGCTCTTAATATAAATTTTAAAAACACTTTCCATATTTTTAAAAAAAACTCGTTGTGTCATCTGTTTTTTAAGATTAATATACCTGTTTATAAACTAAAATCTGGTAGTATACCAAAAATGTTGGATATATATATATATATATATATATATATATATATATATATATATATATATATATATATATATATATATATATATATGCAAATAGTATTGCGTACTAAGGTAAGCAATCTGAAATCATACTGAAATAGGCTGCTGCTGGGGGCTTCAGTACATACATCGACTGACAAATAGCCTGATTCGCAGTGGAGTGCTGCTACATCGACTGAGGGTTTGGGATGGGGGAGCAATCGTTTTATTCATCATTTTTCATTTTTTTCTTCTTTTTTGAAAAAAACGGTATAGCTTAAGGTAAGCAGAAAAAGTGAGCAAATGCTTATCAAAACACACTTTAGTAAGTGTATATATATATATATATACACTTACTAAAACATATTTTTATAAACATTTGCTCACTTTTTTTGCTTATCTTAACCCATACAACTTTTTTAGAAAATGAAGAAAAAAAAACAAAGAATGATGAATGAAATAATTGCTGCCCCATCCCAAATCCTCAGTGGATGTAGCAGCACTCCACTGCGAATCAGGCTATTTGTCAGTCAATGTATGTACTGAAGCCCCCAGCATCAGGTTATTTCAGTATGATTTCAGATTGCTTACCTTAGTATGCAATACTATTTGTATATATATATATATATGTATATATATATATATATATATATATATATATATATATATATATATATATATATATATATATATATATATATATATATATATATATATATAAAAAAGCAAATAAATAACCAAATTCAATAATAAGTGTTGCATTACAAAAATTTACATTTAAGTAAGGACCAGCAAAGTTGACTTTTTAAGACAAAATTTTATTAGAAGATTAGAAGAGTTTCTACTTTTATGCCAAATTGAATTGAAAAATTTTTCAAACCAAATTTAACTTAGAGCCAAATTTTATCCATGAAAATATTAAAACAGCATTTAACGAAAAGCTAAATTTGGACTTTTTATTGAATTTAGCTAGCTTATCAATAAGTCTGTCAAAATTTGTGAAGATGCCTGCCCGGGTACCTGTCAAACAAACAGGCAGGTTGAAATGTTCAGGTTACACAAGTTCTAATTCAGTTTAAAAATACTAGCATGTCCACTGTTTCTTGTCCCAAAGATTCATCACATGCCCAGCAGTTGAGAAAGCACATTTTGATATATTCTTTGTATGTGTGTAAAAATGAATACCTTTTCAAATACATGAGAAATACTTAATTACACATGCATTTATATTTCCTGATTTTTTTAGATATTTAAAATCTTTTCCGAATATTTTTCTGAATAAACTTTCTGGATTTTTAAAATATGACCTGGATAATCTTCTGCCTAAATGTCAGAAGTGTTTTTGGATTTCGGTCTGGAACTAAGGCCGTCTTAAATAAGAGTACCCAAAAATTAGTAAAAGTCAATTTCATTAGAATCTAGACTATTAGTAGGTGCTCTTCAGAAAAAGAGAGTGAATCAATTTCCTTAACAGATGAATCTAGATCATGTTCAAGTTTTTTTGGTCATTTTTCGCATTTTTTAGTCATTTCATATCTGTTATTCTTTGTTTAAGGAGTTTGCTTTGAAAGACTGGATCCAGCATGTGAGCAACAGCACAATGTGGTGTTCTTCATGCCATCTTCTTAATGTCATCTTCATGCCATTTTTATAGTATTTTTTGATTTGTAAAACTAAACACATATGTAGCAAATTTCATAACAATATAAAATAACAAAACTGGGAATGAAAAGTTAAAATCATTTTAGTGATAAAATATATTAAATTTCAGGCTCATGAAAGTATAAAGCAAAACAATGTGAATTAAAAGTTCGAGATTGCTTATAAATAAAATTAGTCAAAAGATTAAAAAGTCATTTTCAATTGGAATTATAAAGACTGATAATCCCAAGAATCATTTGGTGGATTGCAGATGTTTTGTCAGCAGAAATTTCGACAGAATGGAACTTTTTGAACAACAGGCAAAAAGTTCTTCAAAATCTGAAACTAGGTGTAAGATGTAACTTTGTCCTCAAATTTAATTACCAAATTTAACTGAAAGCCAAATTTCTATTTCACGTTTGGCACCAAAGTTGAAGCCAAAGTCTTTTCACTAAATTTCATAATCCTAATTAGGGATGGTTATTTTACTTTTTTTTACTTACACAAGTAAAATAATTTTTATCAAAAATTAAATTACTTAAATAATTTTAAATGTTTAATGTAAATTTACATTTCCATATAAGTATAATTTACATTTCCGTATAATTTACATTTCCGTGTAAGTAATTAATTTTTTTGAAACAACTTTTACTTTATAATGTAAGTATTTTTACTTTCAAAAGTAAATTATGTAAAAGAAGATTATATCAAAAAGTAATTTACTTATACATTAATAAGTCGCATGAAAAAGCTGTTTCCTTTTACATGTAAAAGTTAATTACTTTTTAAAATTACTTTACACATTATAAAAGTTCCTCAAACTGTAATTTATATTTACCTATAAAAGTAACTAATCTAAAAAAAATTATATTACAAGAAAACCTGCATATGAAAATAAATTACATGAAAGTAATATGCTACCAAATGTAAAATAAATTTACAAATAAAATGATATTTTTTAAGTTGGAGTTTTTTATTTTAAAAGTGATAACAAATTTTTATTAAAAATAAATTATATAAAATAAAATTTAAATTACATAAGCTGAAGCTTACATTTTATATAATTTGTAAAGTAAATTAAAAGTAATCTATATAAGTAAGTAAATTTACTTATATTCTAAAATAACTTTGAGAGGATCTTGTTCAATAGTAGTTCTTCAATTGTCCAATAAAATTCAGACAAAGCTGAAACATGACAGTGAGCAGAAGGTGCATATACCCTTGGGAGACTCAGAAAGGGTAGACTATTTGAAAAGCAGGATTGGCATAATTGTTAGTTCTTTTTATAGGTTATAGTTCTTTTTATAAGCTTTTTGCGTAAAAGTTTTTATTATTTAAAAAGGAGGGAAAGTTTAAAGCAGTCCTGGATTTTGGGGGCTACATCCCCATGTCTTGCAGATTTAGCAGCACCAAAATTTTTAACAGGATGCTTTATTTTTGTAAGGTTTTTTTTGCCTTTTTAATAAGAAAAATATCCCTAGACCCTGCAAGTCTTAATCCGGCACTGGTTTTAAGAACTATCGTATTTTAAATAAGCATGTAAAATTTAAAACAATATATTTAAATATTATCTGAGTGTAGTATCAGTGACCGAACTAGAGCAAGGTCAGTGTAAGCAAAACTTATGGTCCCTCAGGCAACTATGCCCTGGGCCGCAAGATTTAGGAGCCTCAAGATGTATTTAAAGAGTTTTGACTTTTTTAAGTAAAAATTATTGTTCCAGAGAAACAAAAATTAGGCACCTGGGTCGCGTCTGCCTACTGACCAAAAATATTTTGCTATGCCACTGTGTAATATATGAATAACCCGAGCTGTATCTAAGCAATGATTTATACATAGATTAAGAATTAAAACTTATGGTAATTTGAGCCTGAAAACAAAAATACCCTTTAAAATATCTACCATCCCTACTCTAAATGTGAGGGCAACAAATTATTAATTTTTATTTTTTTATTTTCTTACACTAAATTCAAGTCGATAGGTTTTAAAATTCAAAAGTTATGATAATATAAAGTGTACACCCTAACCAAATAAGGTGGTTGTTTCAATCTTTTCTTAAACACTCTATACTTAAGCTTGGCACTTAAGTATGTTTTATTTACCAAAAGTATATATATATTAAATATCATTGGTTTTTCATAATTATATTGATATTACATCTCAAAGTTTACACAAGTAGACATCATTATACTATTGATTATTCATAAAGTCTTTAAATGAGTTTAATATGGTTTTTAACAACACATTAAATGACCTCATTTGTACATAACTATATAATAATACTATCAGTTAAAGAATGCTGTTGATTAAGTAATTCTAATCGGTTTGGTGATAAAGGAATTGCCGCATTTTCAAATTATAAAACCTTTTTACATTGCTTTTAACAATACTACGCAATACCTACTACAATATATAATACTTGTATTTAAATCAATTTAAAATTAAATCTTGTATTTTGTTTAATTTATATTTTCATGGATAATATTTTGAAAAACCATTTTATTTATATGTTAAAAAAATAAAATTATTCAAAATTTCTGTTATTTATGCAATATTTCTTCTGTTTTAGTATGTTATTTTTGAAAAATATTTCTCTTTTTCTAAAATAACATACTAAAACAGGAGAGTTTGGTATTTCAGCTACCTATATATTAAATTTTCAGGTAAATTTTCAAAAAATACAAAACTATAATTGTCAACTAAAATAAACTTACTAAACTCAAACTTCAGGAAAACACATGATCATCAGTTTTTAATGACAAGTTTAAAATGTCTTCTTCTGACCCCCGCCATTAGTATATTTAGTCCCCTCCTCCGCCACTAGTATATTTTACAAAAGAAAATTATTTGTAACGGCAAATTTAGAAAAAAAAAAAATTATAAAAATTAAAAATTAGCCACTGCTGCTAAAGAATGTCCTAAGGTAATAAAAAAAAAACAATAATCAATGACCAAATTAAATTTGAAAAAAAAATTAATTTGATAATATTGTTTGAAAAAGATATACATAAAAACATATATCTTGTAGACTAAAGTCACTTGTAAAAACTTAATTTTCTTTGTTATTCAACAAGTTTTAATGGTGAAATCTGTGTCAAAATAGTTAAATTAACTTTTGCTCCGAGCTTTTGAATAAGAAACTGAATTTCAGTGTCAGAGGAACTTATAACTTAATTAAAGAAAATATTCTCAATTAAAGATAATATAACCCCTGAATAATTGGGGATGTTGCTCAAAATTTATATAGTCATAATTTTTGAACACTAAGAGATTGTTACTTGACTTAGAGACTGGGTAATGAACTTAAATTTAGTTTAAAATGTAAAAAAAAAAAAATATATATATATATAAATGTTATAAACTTGTCGCTCTAATGCTAAGTGGTTGTCCATAAATTACGCAATGCAAAATACATTTTAAAAATAGAAGTAGGAGATATTAAGCTCTTCTATGCGGTGATTTTTATTAAACAATGGGTTATTTTGATTTAAATTAGGGCTCTGCGAGGGAAAACTTTTGATCTTTTTTATTTTGTTTATTGTGAAGTTTTGCGTTGCATAATTTATGGATAATCTCTAATGGCATGAAAGGGAGGTAAACATTTTAACATGTTAACAAACTCTGATTAATGCAATACTTTGGAAAGGCTAGTACAATTTTACAAAGTACAATTTTAGGCTAGACATAAACATGAATATATAAATGTTTGGAGTTTGCTCCATGTCGTTACATAAAGTTAAATTCTTGAAAATTTAAAGTAAAAAAGTTAACAAAAGAAAATTTAAAAAAAAAAAGAACTTGATGTTGTTTCATCTGTAAAATGAAATAATATCAAGACAATTTTCTTCACAATTTACCATATAATTTTAAATTTAAAAGTGTGCTTTTTTGAACCACCCTACTAAATTCGTTATATTAAATAAATTAAAATAAGCGGTTGTTAAGGTTATAAAAAGTTATAATTTTTTTTTTAAGTTAATTACTTTTAGTTTTACTTTTTTAAGTTTTTTTTTCTTTTTTTTCTTGATGTTATTTGCATCAGTTATTTAAAAATGCCCCACCACAAACACTGCCCACATACATCAGAGTATTACCAGAAGTATTACCCAAAAGTGCCCTCAAACAGGCAATGGATTTGAATACGCTACCTATCTCAAAGTTTATGTTAAATCAACATGAAATTAGTGTTCTTTGAGAAAGTAAATAATATAACTTAAATAATATAAAAGTATAAAAAGTTAGATTTACCAGTAAAAGTAAAAATGCAAATAACTTTTATTTGTAAAAGTAAATTACTTTTTCAAGAAGCAGTTACTCATTTAAAAAACTTAACTTAAGTAATTAAGTTTTACATGTTATATAATCTATTTAAAAAAAAAAAACGAGTTACTTTTAAATGTAAGTAACTTATATATATGAGTGGGTCAGAAGCCAAGGGGTACAAGTGACATTTTCATAGTTTTGAGATACAGCTGTTTAAAGTTAAAGTATTTTTGTTAAATATACTCAGCTGTTGTTATGTTTTTCCAGTAGAAAGCAGCACAGGGCAGAGATTTACTTGTATCCCTTGGCCACCAACAATTTTGTTTGCTTCTTCTATCAAATTCTATACTTAACTTAATTTTGGTAAAATTAAGTTAAGTATAGGCTTAAGTATTGGCTTCTGACCCACTCATATATATATTTATATATGTGTTATGTAAAGTAATTTACACTTAAAAGTAATTCACATTTTTACATCAAAATAAGTAAAAGTACCATCCCTAATCCTAATATTCCCTGAATTTTAACAAATAATCATTGGTATATATATATATATATATATATATATATATATATATATATATATATATATATATATATATATATATATATATATATATATATATATATATATATGTATATATATATATATATATATATATATATATATATATATATATATATATATATATATATATATATATATATATATATATATTTCAACTATCTACACATGTTCTAACAACATGGTTTTTTTTTTTTTATAAGCATATGAAATTTTTGAAACAGCCTCGAGTATGCTTAAGCAAAAAGTTAAATGAGGTTCAAAAATATGCTTAAGCTTTAGCTATGAACTTTGCATTCCTTCTTGTCCGGACCAATAAAGATGTCATCTGGAAGAATTTCATTTGTATCTTCACTTATAGCATCATCTACATCCACCAGTTGAATATCACCCTGTTTTCCTATGACTTGATTACTGCCAGGATCAATGATGAATGGTGGGAACACTTTGTAACTATCAAGGCCTTCTGGCTTAACAAGCGAATCTTCTGAGCCATCAGAAGTCATTAAACACCCAGTCATCGTCCAACATTTCTTCCTTTCGTTGTCATACTTCGAAGTGTTTAAAGCTTTCCATGTTTCCCCTGCCCAATCTTTAATCAAAATTCGTCTCTCTTTTGCAGTGTAGGGCATTTCATTACTGAACCATCTATCAGAATAATTATCTCTATCAAGCCATTTTTGATGTTCAATGACAATTGAAGTCTTTTCAGAGTGGCAGCATATCCTTTGTCAACTGGTTGCCAAAGGTCAGTGGCACTTGGTAGATCGTACCAGAGAAGTCCTTTAGCAGCAGCCACAGCATCTTTAAAGTCCTCCTGCATCTGTCCCTTCAAGTTGTCCAGCAAAAGAACAAATTTATCAAGTTTTTTTTCTTTTATAAATGGAAGGAGTGTTTTATAACACCAGTGCTTACAAACGTTTTGGTCTAACCAAGCATTTTGTTGGAAGTAAATGTGAATATCTTTATGCCATGCTAACATTTTGTCTTTTGAAATGTGTTTTCCTTGAGCTCTAAAAATAATGGCTAGCTTTGATTGCTCTGCTTCTGGCTGAAACATAATTTGAAGGGAACATTGCCTTTTTCCCAATCCTGAGCCTGGTTGTGAGATCCATGTATTATGTGTTGCACCTTGACTCTTGGGTACAACTCTGCTATAGTTTCTTGATTTCCCTCATAATCATAGGCATTAATTGCATCTGCTTTAAAGGCAACAGTATATTGGTGTCGTTTTTTACCAGTTAATTTGCTAGACTCTTCACTTTT